AATGTTATCAAACGCATGAATTAATGGCCAGCATCAGGTAGACCCCCCCTCACCAAAGCCTCTGTAAGAATCTCTGTGTGTGGGAGAGAGATTGTCCCTGTAACAGAACTAATTATTTTAATCACAACTCATTATCAGGGCTGAATGGGCCAAGTGTTGTGATGGAGTGTGTGGTTTTCCTGTCAGGCCGTCAGGCCCAAACCACCTCCTGAGGGGAGGATTTATTTTGGCTAATATTCCCTTCATGAGCCCTCTGTGCCTTTTAATGGTCTGCTTATTATGCATGCATATCATTTTCGTTTTTTTCTTTACACAGGAAACGGCTAACAGAAATAATGGCTAATTACCTTACCTCGTGGATCTGTCAATCAGTCATTTTACACATAATGTGCACTGCGGTATCTGAATGGGAAACGCTGTCAAATTCCCATTAGGGCTGGAACGCAAATTTAACCCAGCGCGTCACAAACACGCGGGCGCGCACACGAGCGCACAGCAAAATGAGCCGCGTGCTGGAAACTGTCCAACAGCTTGCTTCGACGGAAGTAGTTCTATTTATTATGCCCTATTCTAATTATACTCAATGGCAGATTATGGTAATGTAATTTCTTTACTGAGGCACATTGTGACTAATATTTTCATTTGCATAAATCCCTAATGACACCCCTGTTTAAACTCCGACGTGGTGCCAGAACGTCGCGTAAAAAGGGGGGGGGGCGCTCTCAGGGTCTGCGGAAACACCGTAACACCGTAGCCGGAGAGCGCAAATAAAGCAGCGTGATGCAGCCGCGTAATAAAATAAAAATAAACGAGTGTTTATGACTCGGGTATGAAGGGGAATTTCTGAGGTCTGCCTGCTACCTTCCCGTTCGCTCCCCCTCCCCGCTTGGATTTCTCCGGCCCCTATTCCCAAAGGAACGCCCCCACCCTGTCACCACTAACAGCCCCCGCTCGCCTTCTCCAATTATTTTTTTTCTGCTCCCCTCCCCCCGGGGCCGACCGAACCCAGCAGGTGCCGGGAAGGGGGGAGTGGGGGGCGGCGGAGGCGATCAGAGGAAGAGCCCCGCCGAGCGGGAGGCAGGGACATCGCTGGCTTCCGGAGCTCCTTTTCACCTCAGCACAAGCGGCCATTCACGGATCCGCTGAACACTGCCGGTGCGCGCGAGAAGAGGGGCGCCTGGTCACGCGCACCATTCCTCATTCACATGCTAAATATTAGTGTGCCAGCTACCATGTAATACAGTCCTATATACATTTATATTATACATGTTAATATCTTACCACCTGTTTACTTATGCATGTGAGGGCATAACTTTGGATTGAGAATTGGGGGTGGGGGGTGGTTTTGATTATTGGGGGGGGTTACAGCTCGAACTTATGCCCATCTATGCATGTATGTTAGCATGTGTATATGTCTGTAAACTTACGTTGTGACGTGCATCTCATATGGAAGTATCACGTCAAAATCTTCTTCTAATTATATCAGTGCTTTTCTGACCCTAATTAGAACACTAATTGGCTCTAAATTGAATTTATGTTTCCACAAATTACACACAGATAAACAAACAAGGCGCCCCTCCGGTGGCATGTAGCTAGTCCCCCCCCCCCTACAGGTGGTAAGTGGGAACCCCAGTGATCTCTCCGTGTAGCTGCAGAACCCCTAACGGGGGTATTTCCCACACAGCCCTTCGTCCACCTCTCGCCTCCTCCTGTACGTACACCGGATGTCATTCACACAGAGCCCCTTTTCCTCTGCCTCATACTCCGAGTTATTACTGGTTATGCGTTTTCTGTCTGGAAAAGGGGGTGCTCACCGCCCTACCGCCACACCTCCTGCCAGGTGCCCTGCACGACCCCCATCTCCTCTGCACTCAGGCACATGTCAGATGTTTTTCTGATGCTTGACGCTGCCCCCCACTGTCTCTGCCTGGACCTTGGCAGGAATTCTGCTCTACCAGTCCCCTGGAGAGCCATGCAGAAGGACAAATGAGTGTCAGTCAGGCCCTGAGACTCTCCAGGCTGGCCAACACACTGATAAAGAGCGAGCAGGGTCACTTCTGGCCTAAAGCACCTGCTATATGCCCCTGTGACATAGCTCCAGCACCACAGGCGGGCACTGACGGGGGTAATCACACTGTCCTACCACAGGCGGGCACTGACGGGGGTAATCACACTGTCCTACCACAGGCGGGCATTGACTGAGGTAATCACACTGTCTACCACAGGCGGGCACTGACCGGGGTAATCACACTGTCTTACCACAGCCGGGCACTGATGGGGGTAATCACACTGTCCTACCACAAGCGGGCACTGACGGGGGTAATCACACTGTCCTACCACAGGCGGGCACTGACTGGGTTATCACACTGTCCTACCACAGGCGGGCACTGACCGAGGTAATCACACTGTCTACCACAGGCGGGCACTGACCGGGGTAATCACACTGTCCTACCACAGCCGGGCACTGATGGGGGTAATCACACTGTCCAACCACAGACGGGCACTGACGGGGGTAATCACACTGTCCTACCACAGGCGGGCACTGACCGGGGTAATCACACTGTCCTACCACAGGCGGGCACTGACCGGGGTAATCACACTGTCCTACCACAGGTGGGCACTGACCAGGGTAATCACACTGTACTACCACAAATGACAGTATCACAGCTCTGCACACGGACTCCATCTCGCTCCGTGTGCTTTTCAACACAACATATTAGGAAAGGTTGTTTTACGCCACGTTTGCATTCCATTTTTGCAGTAACACGCATGCAACAGCCATCTGAATGGATATATGTTTTTTTGCAGGTCAGCTAACCCTGCAAGGCACCAAGCCTGACGGAGCTCCTGGAAGAAATTCAGTTATCACGCTGGACTGGTCAGTTGGTCCATATTACTGTTTGAAATCTACTCCTGGTATCTGAGTTCCGGCTTGAACTTACTGCTCCATATACAGCGGTCCCAGAAACCTACTGGATGATTAACGCCGGCGGACACGGGAGGCAGGACACCCCATTGATGGCAGGAACACCTCATACACCCAGCCCCCCAAGCAGGCCCTGCGTTGTTGTGGGGTTTTGACCCGCTGTCTCCCTTATGGGTTTTATTAGGTTATAATGCTGACTGGATTCTGGGGCTTCCACAATACGCAAACCAGGAAAATATAAAATCCTACTTAATCACAATGCTTGGCTTAAAATGTACTAGTTATAACGCATTATTATGTATTATTGAAATCATTATGCATTATTTAGTTATGCATTATTTGCACAATTGTGCACTGGAGATGCGGTCGCACTACAAATAGCAAACGTATATCTGCCACTGTGCCGCATGTGTGTCGTGTTTACGCTATTACGCATTTTTTAGAGAGAACTGCATTTGTAACATAACGTTAAACGCATTCTGCATGCTGAGTCATTCATGGTTTTGCGGGGATCTTCGCTGGCTTTGTGGTAGGCTATATAAACCGTCTGAACAACTGCAAGGGCTCTCAACGAGACCAACATGACAGGTGCTCCAAACCTCCAGCTTGAATATTTTCAGAATATGCAGTTTGTACTTTTTAAGTATTATGTTACCGTTTGTGTTGAAATACTCTTCTTCTGAGGCTTGGACGATGCTCTGGCACCACCAACGGAACTCATTTACAGGTGTTACACCTGAGATCTGCACGCGATTAGGGGAACGTCTCATCTTGTCACTTGGCAAATCTCGTAAAACTTAACCATTTATTGCTTGTCTATATCTTTAAAGAACAAATACAAATTGCATTTACCCGAAAACACAAATAAAGACACAGCAAATCTGCATCAGGTTTTACTATACGCAGAATGCGCACTTTACGGCACGGTATATTGTGCGATACTGAGGGATCTAATTATATTAATCGATTAATTTCCCTTGGTACAAATTACTAAGTATCGATCCTAAAACATATTACAGTTTAAAGTGGAAAATGTGCAACAGAGAAGGAAAATGCTCAGTGAGATCTCAGAGTAGCACTGAAAAATGACACACGGTTAATTTGTCCCAGATGTTAAAAGACCGAAAAATGTCAGATTGAAGGGCAATTTTCCTTCGGCATGTCGTTTTTACAATAAGTAGAAAACCGTAATAAGTCCGCGAGGACAAGGCAGCTCCTCACGCGCATAGGCTATAACCCGCTCCCAGGTACTCCACACAACCCAGAAACTATTAAGGTGATAATAAGCAGCAGCAATGCGTCTGCACCACTGTTTTATTCCATTTTAGGTTGATTTAAATCCACTAAAGTATTGACTTTTAAACGGTGGAAAGCTTTTAAAGACCGACGGAATCGAGCTTGACGAACCTTCTCGGGTTCAGATAGGTAATGATTTTACTTGGCTGAGCAAACGAGAACGACTATCGCAATTAGGTTAACAAAGGGTTGTCATCAATATCAATTTAAGTGGCTTTAAATCGGGGGGAAATTATAAGCATAAACACTCTCGAAATACATGGGAAAGTACCAGCCGACGGACCAAACAGCCGAAGTGTCAGGAAACAGCTCACACTGCGTATTTCATATATGGCTGTCAAAAACAGGCTACATCGCTTTGTGCAAAGGTGGTTATTGCATAAAACGGAAAGAAAACGAAATTAAATACTATCTGCCATGACACGACATTTCGGTCTTTGTGGCTTGTGCATGTAAAAACAGTATTTCCCTATTGCTTTTGCGCTCTGCGGGTAGAATAACATAGTATTACAGCCATGTACAGCAAAGTACCTAGAGAATACGACGTTGCCGATCAGATGCAAGATCACTGAACAGTAATATTGCTATAATAGGGTTACGGCGACTCGGGAAAAGCAACAGATTAAATGGGAAATAGCAATAGTTAGTGGAGTCGCCACTGCACTGTATTAATTTGCATGTGTCTGGGCGTGAGTGAGTTTCATGCAGTAGGATAGACCTGAAAAGTAGACTGCCTTTAACCAAAGAGAAAGAAAGAAAAAATCAGGTTTATACTTACAAGCATATGTCATTGCAAAGCTATCACTGATATTGACCATATCCACTTGGGGTACCAGTTTAGGAATCTCCTGGTGGTGGGAGAGCGCAAATCGGAACACCTCATATTCGTGTGAACCGGTGGGGAACAAGCCCCCTGAAAATGAATAAAAATAAATCATTAAAATATGCACAATTTTAGAATTACACATAAAGTCTTATTGTCCCGACACTCAGTGCGCGTCACTTCGTTATCGTCAAAATATATAGGATTACCACAATGGACAAAACACGTATCCATAGATTCATACATACATAGTATTCCGCAGTCCGTGATCTGCAATGAACTAAATTTGTTAAACACATGCTTGGTAATAAAACAGCCTAGATATCGTTCAATTAGAGGCACGACTCGATCCGCCGATATAAAGTGAACAAAGCGCGGCGGAGGTCCTCATCATCGCAGCGGCTAAAACGCTGGAAAATCGTGCCATTACCATACTTGTAAAACTGCCATTTTGTGTTTTACTCACCTATGTTGATATTACTTGGGAAACTTGTACTTAAGCACACCCCCAGGACACTGGTGCAGAGCAGGGTGAAGCTTCGCTGCATATTTCCTTTTGCATTGGCGAAGGGAAAAATAGCCGGATTCCCACCATAGATCTGTCCGTGATTTTTTTCTTTAAACTTATTGTCCCTCCCCGTACAACGTGCGCTCACAGGCAGTAAGCGATCGGATGGATTAGGAGAGGTCTTCTCGGGACCCCCTCGTCCTCTCCTCTCACGCTGTTAATACTAATGCCCTTGGCTGGGGCTACCAAGAAATCGTGGCTGCCAGACCTAGCTCCTCTCCCTAGAGACAGAGGGACTCAGGGGTGCCCGCATTATGGGCGAGTAAGGGATTCAGTCACACTGGCTTTCCCCCTCATTGGCACGCTGATGCCAGCACATACCTCCTCTCGTTATCACCATTAAGGCTGATCTTACGCCGTTACAGCATCAGAACGGGAGGCGAGATTGCTTTTTTTTTTACCCCTTTGGAAAAATGTTCCAACGATGTACCATTTGCGCAGCCTTGGAAAGATGCTCATCGACACCCAAGGATTTTATATAGGATATGCTGCAGTTTAGTAGATAATAGGAAAGGCATGTTAAAGAGGACGATAGGTTCCATGTGTTTTAAAATGTATTCATACGGCTGATCGGAGCGCATCACGATCCTAACTCGATGCATTGTAATTTATAGCATATGTAACAACATGAATTACTCATGTGAACAAATATAAACAGCATTGTTGATGCTAAATTATTAACGTCGTCCTGTCAGTGCACGGCAAACTCCCGTATGAGCATCGCAGCAGATAGGTCGCAGTTAAACAGCACCGCGACTGTGTAATAACGACCAGAAATATCTAGTTCTGTGCTATTTTAACCTCCAGCTATGTTCATGTACTGGACCGATAAATGTGACTATTAATATGTGAGTGGATGTGTGGAGCACGGGAAGGCAGAACCGTACGTGACACCTGGAAGTTTTACGGTAACTTTATTGCTTTCTTGTGGACTGAAGAGATTAAATCGACGGGCTCTAAAATTTTACATCTAAAAATGTCATCCTTCACACACGGTGTGCTGGAGATTACAGCCCCGCAGTCTCGCTGTAATCACAAACTCATCGCTCCCCTTTGTGTTTCTTTGGGCTTTCATTTTTGTTTTATAATAAAATCTTTCCCGACCGCACTCTCTTCCTTTGATTGGTTTCATTACCTCTCATCAGACCTCCTTTCCTTCAGTGTTGACCTCCTCAGTGTTCCAGCTCCACTCCCCACCTGTCTGTCGCTCCGTCATCTTTCTCATCCTTCATTTAACACGCCGTCTAATTATTCAAAAACTCTCTTATACTCTTCTTATAAACTTGTACTGAGACATAATCTCGTGTGTTGTAGACGAGCCTTGGTAATACGTGACAGATGTTCTAAGTATTAGTAGCATCATCATAAAAAAACACGCTTCGGCTGTTTGTTGAAGACTCTTTGCGTCACATCTGTGGCCAATTTACCGTTTTTTTGCAAATGTAGTATATGTTGGTCAGTTTGTAATAGTAAGACTGAGGTACATTTGTTGAAAAGGGCATTGCTGTATATAATTTTATATGAAAGGCTAATTATTTCAGCTGAAGGCTGTGTGTTACCTTAGATGAAGGCACCGTCCTGTGAAGGTTTCTGTAAATTTTTTTTTAGCTTTTTTCTCCTGATGTACAGTCAGGGGTTATGTGAGGTGGAAATTTATTATGGACAGTGTGAAGACAGGCCTTGGTTTAAACTGAAGCATACAATGGAATTTAGCACGTATATAGGACAATAAGACTTGTGAGTGGAGATTTCATGTTAACTGCATTTCCAATATATTATTACTCGGAATGGAATCACAAGGTTAAACAACATCTTTGATTTTCAGAGTGGATTAATTGCAGTTCACCTTATCGAGTTTTACTCCAGTGCTTGTTTATGGAATGGAGTTTAAAATCCCTCAGTATAATACTTGACTCAGTTAGGATTAAGGATAAGCTATTTATCAGACAGGGACAATTCAGTTTGTCTAACTGAGAGTAAAATGACTTTTTTGTCATTGTTCCTAGCAAATAAAAGAAAGAATTAATTTATTTTCTCAGATTGTTTATTTTTTGCTTATTAAATGGTTGTAAAAATGTCTAATCTAGGTGTGACATGAACAGTGAAAATCTGGCGGTCAGCGGCCCGTCTGATAACAGATGTATGTGTTCTTGTGATCAGAGCTCATTTAGGACATGAAACCTGTAAACAGTACTGAGTCCAGCAGAACAACCACAGGCTTCACCTGCATTATGAGGGAAGGCAGTGCTGAAGCGTGTCTTCATTGTCAGCCACTCCGCACTGCAAACCACCTGCATTATGAGGGAAGGCAGTGCTGTAGTGTGTCTTCATTGTCAGCCACTCCGCACTGCAAACCACCTGCATTATGAGGGAAGGCAGTGCTGAAGCGTGTCTTCATTGTCAGCCACTCCGCACTGCAAACCACCTGCATTATGAGGGAAGGCAGTGCTGTAGTGTGTCTTCATTGTCAGCCACTCCGCACTGCAAACCACCTGCATTATGAGGGAAGGCAGTGCTGAAGCGTGTCTTCATTGTCAGCCACTCCGCACTGCAAACCACCTGCATTATGAGGGAAGGCAGTGCTGAAGCGTGTCTTCATTGTCAGCCACTCCGCACTGCAAACCACCTGCATTATGAGGGAAGGCAGTGCTGAAGCGTGTCTTCATTGTCAGCCACTCCGCACTGCAAACCACCTGCATTATGAGGGAAGGCAGTGCTGTAGTGTGTCTTCATTGTCAGCCACTCCGCACTGCAAACCACCTGCATTATGAGGGAAGGCAGTGCTGAAGTGTGTCTTCATTGTCAGCCACTCCGCACTGCAAACCACACGTTAGGGCGTAGCCAGAGCTCATTAACCCGCCCGAGCCTTGAGCCGGGCCAAAGCCAGAGCTCATTAATTGGCCCGAACCTTGAGCCGGGCCAAAGCCAGAGCTCATTAACCCCTCATTTAAATAATGCCACAATAATAATAACATTGGTAATGTTTTATGAAGATGATCATATATTTGTCCACAAATCGTCCTTTGAATTAATAATAAATGTATGGATTAAGTTAGATATGACATCTGCAGTGGCGCTACTACTTTCTGCATGTATTTCCCAAAAAAGGAACAAGTAACACGAAACGAGTTTTTGAGCATCACTTCCATGGCATGTGAAGATAATGTGTAGCATGAATATGGCCCAGGGTAACAGCCGGACAGCTTTAATACTGCTCAGGTGCTTTTCGACAGAGAGTTTACTATACTTACTATACCAGAAAGTTTTAATAATGTCATCGGGTCTACAGAGTACCTTTTTATTGTATGAAACACACCAAAGCTTGAGCTCAGACAAAGGTCATTCAAGACGTTCACTCTAGAACATGTGTCCACCTTGAAAGTTTTAGCACAAGACAAAAGTGCACATTTATTAGGCTGGAATCTTCTGCTGGTTCTCAGAAAGAGACCCAGAGTCATCAGCCTCTTCTCATGAGTGTTTTTGGATTTGGTTACTGTGTTTTGATTAGTTGATATGGCAAAATGTACAAATGGTGTTATTATTTATGATGGGCTTTATTTTTGATTGCTTATACCTCCTAGACCCAGCAAAGGTAAGAAACTGTGCAAAACTCTGAACATCCACCCATCCAAAAAGTATAAACTCATATGAATAGCATGCCCATTCATCCATCCATCCATCCATCCATCCATTCATTCATTTTCTATACCTGCTTGTCCTATGCAGCGCTGTGGGGGTCTAGAGCCTATCCTGGAAGCTGTGGGTTCACGGCAGAGAATAACCCAGGACAGGGCGCCACCCCATCAAAGTGAAAAGCTTGGAATGGACATCATTAAAAAGCAGTTCTAATAATAATACAAAAGAGTGAAAGTCTCCCTTCCTCTGCCCTGTGCTTCCTGGGAGAGGCTCCAAGCTCGGTGTGACCTTGTACTGGATATGCAATTATGGTAAATGGATAGCTGAATAGATACATTTAGATTGTGCAATAAAGTTTAAAACCTCTCATTCAGTCTGGCTATTCTTTTTTAACAAATATACACAGTGTTGTGCAGCTTTATGATATGACAGGTGACTTTTTATGTTGCTTTGTTGAAGCAGAGAAATGTGCGTGATTTGGTCCATACAGAGCATCGATGGTGTTCCGTATGGGGCATCAATGGCAGTCATACAGAGCATCAACGGCATCGATGGTGGTCTGTACGGGGCATTGATGGCAGTCTGTACGGAGCATCAACGGCGGTCATACGTAGCATTGATGGCGGTCATACAGAGCATCGACGGCATCGATGGCGGTCATACAGAGCATCGACGGCAGTCATACGGAGCATCGACGGCGGTCATACAGAGCATCGACGGCATCGATGGCGGTCATACAGAGCATCGACGCCGGTCATATGGAGCATCAATGGCATCGACGGCGGTCATACAGAGCATCGACGACATCGATGGCAGTCCATACAGAGCATCGACGCCAGTCATACAGAGCATCGACGGCGGTCATACAGAGCATCGACGGCATCGATGGTGGTCTGTATGGGGCATCGATGGCGGTTATACGGAGCATCGACGGCATCGATGGTGGTCTGTATGGGGCATCGACGGCGGTCATACAGAGCATNGGTGGTCTGTATGGGGCATCGATGGCGGTTATACGGAGCATCGACGGCATCGATGGTGGTCTGTATGGGGCATCGACGGCGGTCATACAGAGCATCGACGGCGGTCATACAGAGCATTGACGGCATCGATGGCAGTCCGTACGGAGTATCGACGGCGGTCATACTGAGCATCAACGCTGGTCATACAGAGCATTGACGGCATCGATGGCAGTCCGTACGGAGCATCGACGGTGGTCATACAGAGCATCGACGGCATCGATGGCAGTCCGTACGGAGCATCGACGGCGGTCATACTGAGCATCAACGCTGGTCATACAGAGCATTGACGGCATCGATGGTGGTCTGTATGGGGCATCGATGGTGGTTATACGGAGCATCGACGGCATCGATGGTGGTCTGTATGGGGCATCGACGGCGGTCATACAGAGCATTGATGGCGGTCATACAGAGCATCGATGACGGTCATACAGAGCATCGACGGCGGTCATACAGAGCATTGACGGCGGTCATACAGAGCATTGATGGCATCGATGGCAGTCCGTACGGAGCATCGACGGCGGTCATACTGAGCATCAACGCTGGTCATACAGAGCATCGATGGCATCGATGGTGGTCTGTATGGGGCACCGATGGCGGTTATACGGAGCATCGACGGTGGTCATACAGAGCATCGACGGCATCGATGGCAGTCCGTACGGAGCATCAACTTCTGTGAGTTCATGAGT